GGGTAGTGGTTACTAGTTCGTCTCAATTTGTGCGCATTTTTGTATAGCTTTTTTCCATTTCTTTTTTCTAACACTGAAATATGCTGAAAATGCTGTGAATCGGCAAGAAATACATATTTTTTTTTCGATTTTTTTATTTCAACTGCATGCCTTGCAGCTACAAATTTTTTATGTGGTGTTAGATTTTTTGTTTTATTTTTTTTTTTTTAAGGAAATTCACTCCCTTGGTGCTAACCACTGTTGGATATTCTATGTAGCAAAGTAAATATTGATTTTGCATTGAGCAAATATATGCGCATAAAAGCGTGTGAAAAATGAAAAGCGAATGCAAATTGCACAAAAGAAAGAAAGAAAATAAGTCTTCAGTGTTGCGTAGGATTGAAAAAAAAAAGATTAAATTAAAAAATTGTTTAGTCGTAGAGTTTAATAACTTTCATCTTAAAGATTTAAATAATTTTTAATTTCCAAATGATATACTGAAATTTATCAACGATATATTTTTTCTTGAGTTTAAGTGTTGCCTTCTTATCCACCACAAACATTTCCAGGCGTATACCCGTGTGTGCATGGTATTTTCTAGTACTAAATATGTTTATCAAAACTTCATCAAAAAATTTAGTTCATCAAATTTTCTCTTATGCGTTGTACCACTATTTTCATGCACTTCTTATGGGCGCTCAACTTTTTTACGCTGCATAAATTCTAATTGGTTTCCCTTCTGCATGCTGCGTTCCACTTGTCGCCGGCTGCTTTTAGCACTATTAATAAGCAGGCGAAAAAATAATTGAGCGCGCCAGCAACCATATCTAGTGCATACTACTCGTAGTCGTAAAACCCTAAAAGCTTTGCAAATGTTTATTGCATTACACTTAAAAATATGTATGTTATGCCAAGCGTAATTGCATGCGTCAGACAGCGAGCGTGCGGGCAGTGTGTTGCGGTGAGTGCGAAACTCATGTATTACGGTAAATAGGAAGAAAAATTAACAGAATGCGAAAAGTTTGAAGAGTGGAACACTGCGCAAATGTTAGTAAATAGAAGTGATCAAATGTAGAAATAGTCCAATACATTTTAAAATAAACATAAAACAGTACTTTTCAAAAAATTTTACAAAAAAAATGCTACTATTTCTTTTGCACTTTCTACTACTTTTTTTATTGTTTCCTCTTTAACATTTTAAACTACTTTCATATACCCATTTTAATGCCTATGCTATTTTTACTTTAAATTTTCTGGTAATATTTTTATTTTTTCTTGTTATATTGTTTAGGTATTTGTTACTTAATCACGCAAAACCGGGTAAACAGATGGGAATAAAATTTGACGTGTTGGCAGATTTTTGCCTGGATTAACATATAGAATACTTTTTTCCTGAACCGATCTATTCGAAAAAATCTTATTTATGGTCTGATTTGCTTGAAATTTAGCCGTAGAAAGCTTATTGTCTGTATTAACATAAATTTGTTTGTTTGTATATTTCTTTTATTTTTTCGGTACAAGTCATTTAAAGTTGTTAATATTTCTTATTATATTTTAATTAAATTTCAAAAACATCTACTACGCTATATACTACTATTTTTAGTACATATTTCAAAAATCAATATAATTTTTTTATTTTTACTATTTTGTACCCTGCTGTCAGATGAAAGCTTACCCAAATTTTTCTACAGTTTTTTTTTCAAACAAAAATCGACTGCAATTTTTGAACTCTTTTATCTATGTTTTCTTTGCATTTGCTTTGAAATTATCAATTTACTTTGGCGCTACAAAAAAAATATTTCTTCTTTTTTTCTTCCTAAAATTTTTTTCATACGCTAAAAATTTTCATCTGATGGCCATTTTCTAGTCACATCTCACCACCATTGCTTGAATTTACCACTCACTATAAAAATTGCATATTTTCTAAAAAAAAATTTAAACTTTATTTTCACAAATTTTGGAAATAAAATCTACTACATTTCGTACTAAAATTTCTACTGCTATATTTTGGCATCTCACTTTTTTCCACTCTGTTTTATTTTTCAATGTGCCTACCTATTTGTTAACACAATGGGCCTCATGCATAAAAAGTGAGCTTAAGCTCCGACTCTATTTTCAATACAAAGCTTGATCTTGAGCGGCCCTCCCTAGTCCGTGTTGCGAATTTCAATCACGAAGTTTCAAAAAAGTTTATATCTTTTCTACTGCATTTAATTTGATTTATTTACTACACTTGTGAAAGTTAGTATCTCAGCATATTTAATTACATTTTTTTTATTATTTATCTAAAAAAGTTCGACTCCTTTTTCTACTACAGCTTTTAACCTAACCATTAAGCTTTTTCCCCCTTTGAGCTACTTTTTTACATTTAAAAAACTAACCATTTCTACTACTTATTTATATTTTAAGTTTTAGTACGTCTTTTAAGCGTTTTTGTTTTAATCTCTTTACTTTTCTTAAACTTTAAAAGAAAATTAAGCGTTTTTGTTTTAAGCCCTTTACTTTTCTTAAACTTCAAAACAAAATTATAGTACTATTTGTACTACGTTTTTAACTGTAACTTTTAGTACAATTTTTATGCTTTTCTCTTTGAATTTTTTAATATTTTTGAAAAAACGATCACTTTTATTTTCACTACTATTTTATAGTTTTTTTTTTTTTGTTTTTCTCTGCTTGCTTTTTTTAAACTAAAGTCATACATGTGCTGTATGCTCATTTATATGATCTGCCGCCTAGCCTTTCAATCAATTTTTACTCCCTTTCGGCTTCTTTCAGTACTACCAAGCAAAATGTAAAAAGAAGCAAAACGTATATGCATATCTTACCATTATATTTTTGCGACTTTTTCTTAAACAAAAAAAAAAAACAGAATTTTAAAATCTACTACTATTTCCATGGATTTTTGTACTACTATGTTTTCTATCGCTCTTAGGTTTTACCACGTTATTTCTATCTTATTGCTTATAATTTATGAAATAAACTCACTGAAATACTTGTCTTTAACATCATTTACTGACTATTTCCTCTGATTCATAAAACTTTTTACATTCACACGTCGACAACATTTTAACATTTTCCTCTCTATTTGTAAACACTTCTGCTTTTAATCTTCGCGAATAGTCTACATTAAACTGCTACCCTTTTGGGTACGCAGAGTTTAATTGCTCCCGTTTGCTCACATGTTGCATACTCTTTTACATTTCATTGCCCAATCTAATACTACTCACTTTTCATAATGTTACTAAATATTTCCACTCATTTTTATGCATTTTCAACTCACATTCCTTACACCCTCACTCACTGCTCTTTGTCATCAAATTTTGTTGACTGACTGAGGAAAGCTATCTATGTATGTAAGCAAGCTGGTAGTTAAGAAAAAATCTGCTACTTTTTCTTTTTTTGTTGTTGAAGACGAGAAAGTTATAAGGTTCATCCATGATAAAAACATAGCAAGGTATAACCGTTCTCTCAATTTGTCGGCCATGATTTTTTTTTGAAGTTTGCCAACATTTTAAAATCATATAAAAGTGAAAATAAAAAAATGAAATTGTTCGAAATTGTTGTTGCTTGAGATTGAAAATGAAAATGTGTGTGTGAGTTTGTGAGTAAATTTAAAAATTAAATTGTTTGGAAACGTCAAGAATTTTAAAAGTGACTCTCAGCGGTTCTACCTTACTATATTTTTATCATGGGTTCATCGACCACGCTGACATTTTGGCCGCAGCAGCTCCACAGCGCTGACTTCGGCGACTCGTGGCTTTTTTTTTAATGTATCATTTCTTTTTTATGAGTTTTGAATGATTCAGGCGAATCACGTGCATATACTAAACATGTCCCGACGAAATGTCTGCCAAATCGAAAAGAAAGTGAGCAAAAACTTATTTGGAAAAAAGTAAAGAAGAAGATAGTAAAATAAGAGAAATGAAAAATTAATTGTGAGTAAATCAGATTGGCTGTGCCTAGAGGAATGCAAATAAACTCAGATATTCTATATCAGATCACACCGCCCTCAAATATGCATTGATTTGAATTTTTAACAGGTGGCAACCATCTTCTAAAATATTTTCAAAATTAAGCTTTCTTAAACCGCTCCCGCTCTATTGCCCTATTAAAATATTTCGTTGGACTTTTTTAACTATACAGAGTATGAATTTCTAAATAGGTGGCAACCCTCCCCAAAAATATTTTCGAGAAAAAGCTTTCTCTCTCGTTTGGTATTCATATTAAAAAATTTGATTAAATGTGTTCGTAAAATAGGTTTCAAACTTTTCGAACAGGTGGCAACCCTTTTGAAAAAAAAAATGGAAATTAATCGTGTTTGAATCCCTTTCGTTCGACACCCGCACTATTGTAATATTTTATTTAACTTATTTTGATTTTAACTTTTGCAAACGGTGGCAACACTCTCCAAAAAATATCCTATGTTAATCCAGGTTATAACCTATCTATATGTGTGCCAAATTTCATTGAAATACGTTCAGCTGTTTATTGGAAAGAGCAGCAAGCCTACTCACACACTCACTCACAAACTTTCACAGTTATAATATTAGTAGAACGTATGTGCATTAGGGTGCAGTATTTCAACAGAATTATAAAATTTGTTATATATTAAGTCTTCCGCCAAAATATTTCGGACAATTATTAAGATTCACGTGGGCTAGATCGATTTGAAAATATCTCCGAAAATCAAATTTTTCTGATTCCGTTGATAAAATGTTTAAATATATTTATGCAGACCTTTTAAGCCTATGCTCTTCTATCATCTGCGGTGATTTCAAGAAAAAAGGAAAATTTTCAAAAACTCATTTTATTTGTGTATACGAAAACTCGATTTTTGTAGGATTTTTAAATTGGGTCCAGCCAGGGTAAGTCTTAATATTTTTCCAAAAAAATTTGTCGAAAGTCTTAAAATATAATAAATATTATCATACCGCTGGCTAAGCAGAATGATACACCCTAATGTACATATGCATGTATAAATAAATTGAAATAAAAAAAAAGATGAATGGACTTTTTTGTTTAGATATATTTTCGGTATATATTTTTATTATTAACTTTTTATTTAAAATTATTTTGTTTTCAAAACAACACACTTTTTTGACTTATGCAATAAAAAATACAAGTAATGCTTATATAAATTTATCCGTATTTTAATACATTCTGAATAATATGTATTATCAAAAAATTTCTAAAATTACCAAAAATTATACTAAATTTCGACCCATTTTCTTAGGCACGTAATTAATAACAACTAATCGCTTAACTTAAATACAATACTTAGCCAGCGCAAAATATATTTGCTTTTAAATTTCATACTTGTATAACTAAATAATTCTAAGCTATAGATAACGAGTTAAACTCAACGATCGAGGCACTCAGAGACAACAACATATAGCACACAAAATTCAACTATAAACAGCATACAATTTTAACTTCAACGCTCACTTCACGATTAACGACGTCGACGTCGGTCGATAACGTCGACTGCCATTCAACGCCTGTGACGCATGCGTACTCGTGTAGAGGCTCGCCGTGGCGCTGGTATTACGCGCATACGCGCGATATTTATTGCCAGTTATCAGCTCGCGCACCGTCTTCCGATACTTGTCCGAGAGTACGCAGTAGAGGAAAAAATTCGCAGCCGCATTGATGGCGGCAAGAAAATTGAAAATATTACCAATTATCGCTTGCACATTGTTATCGATATCGACATTCTCCGAAACAATTAGATATATAGCCCAAGGCAGTTGGCAAACGATGAAGAGCAAAACGACAGCGATCAGCGTAACAGTGATGCGATTCTCCTGCGAAACGGATGAGCTGTGCGCTTTGCGTGGCTGTGGGGGGTAGGCAGGAAATTAAAACACTTGCTGACACCAAAAAAAAAAAAACAAATAAATCCCAAAAACGTATACACTCACCCCTTTGCTGCTGCTGCTCATGCGCGAACGTCGTATACTATTCGCATTTGTCATTTCGCCGCGTAAATTCTTCGAACGTCGCACAAGCATTATCAGGAAGCAATTGAAGGTGGCCAGCAGGCATAGTGGTATCAGAACGAAAATGAAAAGTGTGAAAAAATACCACAGGCGCGTATAGAGCGCATTCTCGCCCAAGCTCGATAGGCAGTTTTGATAGTAGGTCACCTAAAAGCGGTCGATAATTTTAGGGTAAAATTAAAATTAAAATTTAACTCACCTCCTCGCAATAGTCCGTTATATTGAAGAAGACCGCTTCGGCATTCTGTTTCGTTGCTGCTTGATCTTTGGTTTGCGTTTGTTGCGTCCATTCCTCATCCACACCATTGTAATCAGCAATTAGTTGTTCTTTCTTGGGCTCTTCATCCTTTTCATTAACGGACTGCTCGCTTCCAAGTGAAATTCCAGCGCTCATCAAAAACTCTGAATCGAACAAATGTTCGGAGTGTCTATCCAAGGGTAGATAGCTTACAATGATGCTAGGAATGTTTCTATTGGCTGCTGTTAAGAAAGCTCCTTTTAAAAGCGAGCCTGCAGAAGCTGTATAAGAGAAAAGAAGAAGTGAATTAAAGGCGAAGAATTCGAGTTTACAGAATTTCGTCACAACTGCCCAGAAAAATTTATATATATTTTTCAGCAGCTAAAATTTCAACAGTCAAGCTGTCTGTAACGGAGAAAAAGTTTGAAGGGTAGAGAATCTGGCTGAGCCAACTTCAATATGTGTGATAACAACAACAAACGCATTCCTGCTGAAATCCGCCAGTTTATATCCCTTAGTGTGTTCATCTCTCTCCTAAGCTGCTCCTTTATAGTATTGGGACCTTCTCCCAGGAAGAGCTCTGGGCCAACTGTAGTAATGGCTGCGAATGGCTCATTACCCTCTATTCCCCTATGACCCTCTATTTCCCTTTGTACCCTCTACTCATTAATGTCTCCGCACATAGATAGATGGCATAGACTTCTGCTTGGAAGATGCTCGGATATTTCCCCATACGAACAGATATTCTGATTCTGGGCTCAAGGGCTCTAGTTCCTACTGATTCTGGGGTTTTCGAGCCATCAGTGTACCAGTGCAGTGTGCAATCCTGAATTTTTCGAGGTGAGGTTGGAGTTCTGAACTTCCTAGCCAACTAATTGCCACAAGAATATATACCAAAATATATATCTTTAGTTTAGACATCTGTTCGAGGAGTTCGATTATTCCTGCAAGTAAACGGTTCCTCTGCGTGGGATATGTAGTAATATAATCTTCTTGGGAACACGAATATAAGACTTATGTGTTTCGTACCTATTTTAAGCCAAGTCCTATACCAAAATCGCTTAGGCGGTTACAGCGGCAAGCAAGACAATACAATATTGGAAATTTTTCCGAGGTAGTCGACATCGTTTTCCACTGCATACATACATATGTTCCTTCAATGGAGCACGTTTATTGATCGGATACTAGACTCGGTTTATCTCGGAAAACATTGGCTGGTAACATGGGGGGAGCACATATGCAGATGGTTTCAGAATTAATAATTTTGCGTAGAAAAACTGGGTAAATATTTATGAGTATGAACCGAAATTAGATGGTAATGATTATTGTTCAAATTTCTAATAGAAATTTCACTTTTTTTTTAAAGCATTCCACGTTAAATATTCTGTAAGAAGCAAATCATATTGAACCGGTAGCATATGATTTTACTTTTTGTTTACATTTTACTCTAAAATTTCAAACTTTGTTTGCGTATATGGCTTCCAAAACCAACAGCAAAATATACCTCGGATACCTGTCCAATGTGCTGCGGTGTGCAGGCAATTTTCAAATTTTGTGAAGAGAGAAGATATTTTGTTAATTGTATGAGGGATAGTATCTTAAACATGAGAAACTCTAAATAAGAAGGCTACCATTCGAATCTTATAAAAGTAAAGAAGTTCTCAAAGTTGAATGGGAAGTGGAACCCTTCAAAGGTACGCTTTGCAAATCAGTTCCGGTTGCTATTCACTGCATTGCGCTTAGCCGAAATCCGAGTCTGAAAATAATCCTTTGAATATCACTCGTGCTTCAAAAGTAGTCGGATATTTCTTCATGTTTCCCTACCTAGGTTAGGTTAGGTTGTAGTGGCAGACCGACGAAGGGGACTCACTTAGACATTTAATTGCCCATTGTGATACCACATTACCCAAATTCTTAGAACGGTAACTGTGTTGAAACTAAGAGAAGCGCTGGTTGCTCACAAAAAAGTTCCGCAGACCTCTGATGTCCACTCAGGAGAGCCCCTTGGGAGTATTGACGACAGCCGGGCGGCTGTGGTGGAAGTACTTAGATGATTCCACCTCGTCTTCCAAGCAGCTGTGGCAATTAGCATTTAGCAGACAGTCTAGCCAGAGAAATGGCGGCCAGCACTCCAACTACCACTGAGCTATTTATTTTACAAAACCGATTAGGAAAGCGCCTGGCATTAGAAAAAGGTGCTTTTCAAGACTTCAGTATCTAGATTGCTTACTCTCCCATGGACAAATGGCATAGTTCCAACAGACCCACTCGGGACACAACACCCACATAAAGAGGTAAGGTTCTTTCCATTATATGTACTCTTCCTCTGAAGCAAATTGTTTGATTTGACATCTCCGTCCGATAAGCCAATCTTATCTTCGAAGCTGCAGGCACAATTTCTCGTTTACCTCAGCATCAAGAGTGTTTCACAAGTTCATACTACCATTGAGCCATACTACTCAATCGCTGTTAGCCATTCAAGCGGCAAAACTCCGCTTTAAGCTCTCGATGACACCATTTCGAAAACAACTACAGCACAAACGCATTTATACAACTCACATTGGTAGTATTTTGCCTCGATCTCTCCCCTTCAATCCACTGGTCTTCGTTTTGCCCCACTCATACAAACTTACCCTCAGTGCCCGCCAAAGTACCCATATTACTCACCTTTCACTTGCGTGCCACTCGGTGCGATTGCTGATGCCGTCGATGCTGCCGCTGCTGTTGTTCCTACCGCTGCCAGTTCGGACCATCCAAGCGTTACCGCATCCCCAGTTGTTAGCGCTATTGGCAGAGGTGTAGCAAGAGAAAGTAGCGGTGTGTGCGGCAAGGCGGTTAATGGCAATGGTGTCGTGGCTGTGATGGTGGCCGCAGCTGCATGCTTGGACCCGCCTTCCGCTTTACGTTTCAAACGACGCAATATTACATCCGGTTTTAGCTTCCTACTTCGGCTGCTACTGCGGCTGTCCAAATTGTCCTCTTTGTTCGCTACTGCCCCAATTGTGGAATCCAACGACCGTGTCTGCCAACTACGTTGCTCTGTGCGTTCATCCGCAACAGCCTGACCGCCACCACTTCCCTCGATATCGATGTATGGCGTCGCTATTGACGTTGGCATTGTTGGCATATAATGTTGCACAGGTAAATTTTGTTCGCCATCTTGTTGGTCCTTTTGTCGACGCTGTTGCTGTTGTTGCTGGCGTACACGTTCATTGTAATTCAGTTGTAGCAATGATAGGCGGTCGGGCGCATTCGCTAGGGTTATATTACATGCGCTGCCATGTATATCAATTGATTTCTTAGTGATGCGATACTGATGTTCGAAAGCTGTCGAAATTGTGGAGAACAGGCAGAAGAGGACGACTCCTTGTGTTTTCCATTTATTGTTGTTTTTGGGTATTTTTCGCAAGGCATGTTGCGTAAATCGATGAATAAGGCCATAGCATGAAACGCATGATGCAATTGCGGTGTAGATATGTATGTAAGAAGGTGGAAAGGTAAAAATGTGAAAAAATTTTATGAAAATTTTCAGCAGTGTGAAGGTAAAAGACGAACAACAGCAATCGAACAGCCACATATTGTTTTTGAAAGCACACAAGTTAGGCTACTTTGTAAGAACCTCATACGCAGCTGTATATTTAGTGTTGCTTTAATTATGATACTCAGTATAGCTTGTTGTTGATCCTTTTCCCATTTCACAGTTGATATAGTTACATACGTATACAGCACGAAAATATGTACATACGCATGCCAACGCACAGAACACATTGTTGTTTCAGCGAAATATTGTAGTGATGAGTGACCGGCAATTAATCGATTAATATTGCAATAGTTTAGATGAAGAATATATATCGATAAAAAATCAATAATTTTTAAGACTTACATCGATTGGAAAAAATTCTGAATCTTAATATCAATAAAATTATCGATATTAACATATTTATCGATTAATGATAACTACAGATTTATCGAAAAATATAATTATTGACTCATATAAAGCAAAAGTGGATGTAAATTAAAAAAAAAGATTGACCTGAAAAAGTTATTGAGCAGAATAACAATTATCAATCGATATTTTGGAAAGATATAAATTTTAGTATATATTACTTACATATATATCTCAAACTTTAAAGAAATCAGCAGAAACCAACATAAACAAGGTAAATACAAAATTAAAAAACAATTAAAATTGGCGACCGATTATTTCAGTTTTTCTTCGTTTCATCCGTGAAATTAAAAAACAACTTGGAAGATTTTAATAAAAACTTCAAAACAATAAGTGATCCAGAAATATAATATAAATATGTATGCAAAATTCAAAAACATTGAAAAGTTTATCAAGAAGTTATCGATTTCCACATCAGTTATCGATCTTTTCTTACCTGAATAAAATCGAGACTTTGGTTTATGTAAGAGATCGATAAAAATCGACTTTTGAAATCCAGGATATCATGGAATATTAAAATTTAATACCATTCTCACGGTTTTTATAACAACAAAAACAATAAACATTAAGTTATCGACCGATATATGTACATATCCATTTATCGATAACACTCTACTTATTGAAAAAAGAACGATATAGCCAAACAGAATTAGTTTGTAAAAAATTTAAAGAAAGTATTTAGCACCACTTAAAAAATAAAATAAAACCGGTCGATCAATTAGTAGAAAGTTTTCGATTTGTTCAAACTTGAAAATCAATACTTGGGCGTAGATTTAATTAACACTTGTAAGATTTCCTTTTAAAAAATTCTGTCAATGCAGATAATAATCGATAAAATATCGATTTGTAATAAATGTACTGTAAGGCAATAACTAAATTTGTATGCTATTTGTTACAAATTCAATACAATAATAGTTTCAAACCAAAGCGTTTATAGAGAAACGTATTGCAATAAATGGAATTATTTATGTACCTACCTAGAATTGTAGAATTGTAGAATTCTTAATTTTTATGAGACTAGTTTATCGTTTGAATAATGCTTGATATCGATTATAAGCGACTTTAATATAGTTTTAAGGAAAAAGGTTTAATCAAATCAAAATTGATTTAAAAGTTTTCATACAAAAGGGTTGATAGACAATATTTTGAAAATTTTGGTTAAGTATTCATAAAAGTTGACTTATCGCAATTTGAAAAAGAATCAATAGATAAATAATGTTTCTCGATAAACGGGCATGTTTATATTTATAAACGCTTCAAGAAATCTATTAATTAATTTCCATATCGATTAATCACTTTGCTATCGAATTCTTTAATCAGTTTTAATTAAAAGCTAAAAATTTATTAAAAATCAATTTTAACAAAAATATTAGGAAATTTACGCATAAGTTTGTCAATTAATTTTGTATATATCGAGATAAACTTTTGTTTTAGAAGGTTATCGATTATTTTTTATCATTGAACCGATCGTATATTTCGATAAACTGTAGATCTAGAAAATCTTAAACAATTTATCGATTTACATATGTCGATTAATCAATTATCTATTTCGATAAGAGACTACATACGATATCTAGTTTAAAATTATCCAAAAAATATCTACACTTAGTCAATTTCATCGCTTACTGTTTATGGCTAAAGCTATCGATTATTAACTTATTTTTCACTCCTCACTATCAAAAGCACATCACTAACGTGCACTAAACAACACGCATACACATCGGCACACACGCTCACATTCATACTCACCTGTGATGACGCTCTTAGCCAGCGATTCTGTGCAGAATGTCTGTCGTTTAAGCGGGTAACGTATCGCAATAAATCGTTCGATCGTAAAACACACAGCAATGTAAATGGAAATATACGCTGTAATAACAACAACAATAACAACATCAACAGCGGGCATAGTGGCATTGACAAAAACAATGTCAGTTGATACGTTGCCATTCGTTGCAATGGAGCCGAGAAGAAAAATAGCGAAAGAGAGAGAGAGAGAGAGAGAGAGAGAGAAAGTGATGACGGAAAAAAAAGCAAAGCATATTAAGGTATTAAGACACTGCAACTACGTGGATAAGCTGTATTAAAGAAGAAGAAAAAGAAAAACCCATAGTAGGCAAATGAGTGACGGGAGTAACTCAAATTGGTTTTCGGCGCCTCGAATCAATTCGAACGTGATGCTGACTGAATTACAATGCAAAATGTGTGCGTAGTGGTGAAGTTGGATGGCCAAACGGCTTGAAGGTTGTTTCTATGATTAAGTCTCAATGGCAGTCGCTTTGTTGTAACTATTTTTAATTGAATGGTAATGAAATTGCTTCGATGGCATACGATTTTTAAGTAGGCCGCGCTTAACTACATTACTCGAAGCATAACTTAATCACACTCAAAATTTTGTACTCTTAACAACACGTGAGTTTTTTCACCAATCTAGCAAATTTTAGAGACACCGAAATTGCAGTTACATATGTATGTACATAGGTACCTTTTACAGCCTCAAATCCTATCCTTCTTCTCTTTAATACAGCAATTACCCACGACTATGCACTTACCACAAGCATCGCATAGCCACACCACATAGCCATAGCATTTCCAATAAATTTCCACTTGACGCTGCACATAGTCATAATGTTTGAGTGATAACAGCAATGCCATGGTGAGGTAAATAATATCTGTGATGGCAAGGGCGGTGAGGTAAATATTTGTTGTACACCGCATGCGTTTTCTAAGGAAATCAAAAAAAGGAAACATTTTAAATAATGAAAAGAATTATTGCAAAAAAAACACAGTTCAATATTAGTTACATATTATTATTATGTACATATTTGTATATATACTAGGGTGGTACAAAAATGCATGTGAAAAAGGAGAGACGGAATTTTAATGCCGCCACCCCCTAGGATTGTTCTATAAAAAAAAACCAAATATACCCTATTTTTTATTTTGAAATCAAAAAATATTTAGGGAGTGCTCAAAGCGTTCAAAGTTGTCCATGTATTTTATATGGGGAAAAACAACTTTTTGTAGAAATAGTATAGAATTCTTGAAAATCAATATTTTTATATCGGAAAACTGTGAGAAGACTTAAAATTAGAAATTAATAAAAATTTAATTTATGTAAATAAATAACTTAAGCATTTTAAAATAGATGATTTATATCAATAATTTTTCCTATGGCTGCGCAAAATACTTTGAAAACTTTTAATTTTATTTTATTTTCAACTAAAGAATCTTGTTTTTAACCAACTTCAAAAAAATTAGTAGGTTATCAATTCGTCGAAACATTTTTTTTTTTTTTGTATGTTACCGCATAACTTTGGACCACGTGAACCGATTTCTATAATTCTAATAAGAGAAGAAATCCACGTTAGCTACTATTAAATTTTTGTCTTGTGTTTTCTGCTGGATTTCAAAATTTTTGTATATTTAAATATAGGACTAGATCAATAGCTCACGTATTTTAGACTGAATAGTTTTTTGATTTTTTTTCTGAAGATGCAAACAAATTTATAAAAATTTTAGTTTCAATGTTTTTAAACCTCAAAGAATGTTGCTGAAAATACATACATATATGTACAGTTGTCCACAAAATAATAGGAGTGCGATATTTTGACCAGTTTTGGCTATTTGTCTTTTGTTTATTTAATGTTTATTATTTTTTTATAAAAGCCTAGCTGGCTATACAACAAACACCATATAAATTCAGATTTTAAACTTTGTATAAAAATTATAAAAATTTTGCAATTTTTCACCCAAATTTCAAACTTTTTAATCAGAATCTTTAGAAAAAATTCTGGTATGCAGTTTTGTAGCACATTCAATTCTAGTCTGAAGAAGTGCAAGTTCCAAGCGGCTAAAAAATTCCGTTGATTTTTGAGAATTTTTTTGGTTAAAGGTGTTTTTTCCATACAAAGTATGTCGACAATTTTCTTTTATATGGAGGACACTGCCAGCAAAAAAATTGCCAAAAATCAACGGAATTTTTTAGCCGCTTGGAATCTTGCACTTCTTCAGACTAGAATTGAATGTGCTACAAAACTGCATACCAGAATTTTTTCTAAAGATTCTGATTAAAAAGTTTGAAATTTGGGTGAAAAATTGCAGAAATTTTTATAATTTTTATACAAAGTTTAAAATCTGAATTTATATGGTGTTTCTTGTATAGCCAGCTAGGCTTTTATAAAAAAATAATAAACATTAAATAAACAAAAGACAAATAGCCAAAACTGGTCAAAATATCGCACTCCTATTATTTTGTGGACAACTGTACATTAGACTGATTTCACAAAAAAGTTGCGGTTTTTCCGCCGGGATTACAAAATTTATTATGTTTTAAGACGTCCACCAAAATATTTCGGAAAAATATTAAGATTTAAGCGAGCTGGACCGATTTGAAAATACCTCCAAAAATGGAGTTTTTTATGAATAAAAATAGTTTCTTAAAGAACTTTTTGAAAAAAGTCCCCTCAGATGACAAAACAAGTTAGGCTTAAAAATTCTGCATAAAAATATTTAAAAATCTTTTCAACGGAATCGTAATAATGAGGTTTTTGATGCTGTTTTTTTTTACTTTTTTCAAAGATTGATTTACGAAAAACTTAAATAACTGGGCCAAAACTATTCTGATATAGACTTATGGGATCCCGGTAGAAAGGTATTTTCCCACTATTTCTATTTATGTGCAAAAAAAGTCATTCGTGTCTCAATATTTTTTTTTCAAATATCAACACATCTTAATTCAACTTTGAGTGATATTCGTTCATCCTACCTCTCTCTTTCAATTCTCCTTTGAATGAGTTTATTAGCAATGAAATAAAAAGGGCGAGAAAATACCTTTCCAATGATATCTCACAAGTCTAAATCGGGAGAGTTTAGGCTCAGTTATTCACGCTTTTCTTATACCAATCTTTGAAAAAAAGTTAAAAGCAGCATCAAAAATCGCATTATTACGATTCCGTCCAAATTTTTTTTAAAATTTTTTAAAAATATTTTTACGCAAATTTTTTAAGCTTAAACCGTTTTGTCATTTGAGGGTATTTTTTCAAAAAAAAATCTTTAAGAAACTATTTTTATTCATAAAAAAACTCCATCTTTGGAGGTATTTTCAAATCGGTCCAGCTCACTTAAATCTTAATATTTTCTTCGAAATATTTTGGTGGACGTCTTAAAATATAATAGATTTTATAATTCCAATGTAAAAACAGTACCGATTTTTTTTTGTATGGGGAGTGATGCAGTCTAATGTATATATATATTTTTTTCAATTAGTGCAATTTTATTAATTAAAAAAATTGCAAAAAATTTCAGCTGACAGAAAATACAAACACTTTACTTAGAGCTAATGAAACAACACCACCTTAAATGAATTCGCCTTGGTTTAGTCTATTAAAAAATAAAAATAAAATAAAACGAAATTGAAAAGAAAATTTTAGTTTAAAAAATTAAAAATAGAAACTACTGAACCACCAATACAACAGAGTTTTGAGTTTTTTAAGAATTTACAATAGAAACAATCGTATTTAGAATTTTGTTTTAGGCTTGTTACTGGTTTTTAAGCTTATAAGATTGTATACCTTAGTGCCAATATATTTTACATATTTAATGTAATACTTATATTTATTATACATGCATATTTATTTTTAAATTTGAAAATTACCTAATTTTTGGTTGAGAGAAGAGAGAAGACAAGTAATTTTTAAGCAAAAAATAAAACCGAATTCAGCTCGCATATGAAAATTTAAGATTATCGTTAATTTTTTCATGATCGAATGATGGGAACACAATATATTCCGATGAATCGACAACCACCTCCTTTTTTGAAGTCGGTTAAAAAAGAAAAAAGGACCAATTTTCTTTAATTAAAATTTGGGTGGAAAACTTTTTGATAAGTAAAATTTTTATTTTTTTGTTATTTTTTTGGCGCCATTTATTTTTCTAAAATTTAAATTTAAAGAAGAAGAGTTTTCTTTAATTAAAATGTTTGCAAAATTTTTTTTACAAAGAAAGATTTTAATGCTTTTTTTTGTTGTTTATGTTCTTGGTCTTTTCTCTAAAAAAAAATTTTGATTTATTTGTATTTCCATTTCGCTGATTTTTTTCTCATCGTTTTTCTTTTTCTTTTAGAACATTTAATCCTGAGTTTATTCAACAACCAAACCAAATCTATATTTTTTATATGCAATAAACGACAAGAGCACAACAGCACTAAGCACACCAACTAAACCTGACTAGCACAGCTGGTAAGTTGCATTTCATTATTTATCATTCAATATTAAAATTCATATTGACCATTTTTATTGTTATTCGAAAAATCTGTGTTTTGCATTCTGCGCTGCACAGCAATGCCATTTCCTACTCCTGCGAATTTTTCAAATAATTTAATGCGTTTTTGCATGCATTTATTTTTTGATTTTCTCTTTTTTTTTTGTTTTCGTACTCACCTGGTCAGTACGTAAATGCTCACAGAATTGCCCAGCAATCCGATCACAAATACACATGGCACCAATATGCGTTGCACCACATGACGCACTGCGGCCACATCCGCTGAGCTGAACATTTTTGCTGCACAATTGATTTTGTTGTTCCATAAAATGTTGCGTGGTTTTTGTCGCTTTTTTTTTTGTTTGCCGCTATGTTTTGGATTTGCTAACCACTTCGGTTTTATGTTTTTGGCTTTACTGCGTAGTGGTTTTCATAAATTTTGAGAAGAATTTCACTAAGCATAATGCGTTCTATGTTATTGGCTTCGATATTTGCTAATAATATGTAGGCACTTTAATGTTGCTGCAACAAGTTGCTAAGGCATTTCGTGGTTGAGTGTGCTCGGTTAGCTGCTTTAAAAATGGGAATATACATATATTTGTGGTTTTTTTTTTGATAAGCTGAAAAGAGAAAAAGGAGGAAAGTTATGATTTATTCCGAATTTAGTGCAAATAGAAAGTTAAATAATAGATGATTGCTTAATATATCACAGCAATCAAATAGAAAAGATCAGCTAATTTTATTGCCTGACTTTGATAACGTCACTCGTCATCAGCTGATATTTTCTTCATCAATTAAAAAAATGAGACGTCATATGATTTCATGCTTATGTTCAAATGTCACATCGCATGTCAGCAATTGATTTTTTTCTCTATCGTCTGATGTGCCTTATAAAACTACCTAAATTTTTAATAAATCGCACTTTGATTCTTTTTTATACTTAAATACATAAAATGCACCGCATCACCTCTCTTTAAGTCACATGATCAAGCACACAACTACCCACAATCTCAAACTCGTATACACAAATCAAATTTTTTCATTTGAAAATTCGCAATAAATGCTTCAAGCTCTGACAAATTTTACATGCAAATAAAGCATTTAAATTTTTTCCATATACATACACACATTTACATTTTTTTTTGTATTTATTTTACCCTGCACACTTTTTTGCCAGCTGAATTATTGCAAACTGCGCGCAACGATGTCGGTACAAAGTGTCGAAAATTAATCAGCTAGGCAATTTTATATTTACTTTTAGCTTCGCCGTAGCGCCAAATAAAATTTTTAGAATTCTTTTGTTTTAGCTCATAATTTTTATAGTATGCATTTATATGAGCAAATATTTTTCGCATGAAGTACATACTATATCATAAACTCATGCTGTTTAATATTTACTTAAAGTTTTTTCGTCAAAGTTTTCAAATACATTAAATTTTATATTAAATAAAAGCGGAAATTATAAGCAAATATTTAAACGTGAGTAAGTACATATTAGGGATGTTAATTTTTTCGATTTTTGCGATCTCGGGATTTTTGGGACATCGTTCTTACAATACCGGGATCCCGGGATTAGTCCCGGGATTTAGATATTCATTATTTTCCAACAACTGAACATGAAAAAATTGCATCAATATAGTTTGAGAAGCTGTCCTATCATATAATAAATAATAAATAAATGGGTTTGAAATTTACTTTATTATTCAAGTTGAAAAATATTTCATTAGTAAAATAACAAAAGACAATAACTGAATTTATACGCATTTACTTTAGCGTTTACATATCTGATAAAGTAACTTAGGGATGTCGAAAAAAGCAGGATGCCAAAATACCCTCTTTAAAAGAGTCACAACTGAAAAAAAAAATAAAATAAAAAAAAATATAAAATAAAAGCTCTCCGTACATTTTTAGCGCACAATCTCAAAAATGCCAAATTTTGAGTTGTGACTCTTTTTTTAGTAGCAGAAATAAAAGAAACGCCTCATTTCAACCAGTTTAGTCTATAGTTCTTTTCTTTATTTAATATTTAAATTTTTTTTATAAAAGTCTACCTCATTTTTATATAATTAACTGCACTTGAATGCACATTTCAAAATTTGTACAAAAATTTAAAAATTGTAAAAAAATGACAAAATTACAAACTTATTACTTAGCATTTTTAGAAAAATTTGAGGAAAGCAGTTTTAAAGCCCATTAAAATAAAGTAGGATAAAATGCAAGTTTCATGCAGTTACAAAATACCGCTGATTTTTGGGGAATTTTTCAAACGATGCTGGCCATTTTCTTCCATATAAAAAATTGTCGAACATACTTTAATGGCAGAAAATGTGTGTCACCGTAGGCAAAAAAATTATAAAAAATCAACGTTACTTTTAGTCACTTGCAACTTGCGCTCTATCCTCCTGTAATTTACTTATAAAATTGCGTACCTAAATTTTTCTAAAAATTCGGAGTAAGAAGATTGAAACAGTTTGAAACAAAAAAATTACAAAACACACCAGCAATCAATATACTCACGACACTATGAGCCAAATGTAGTAAAACTGCGTTTTTAGTTTTAGATTTTTTTTATTAGAACTTTATGATTTCAAAGATATGATGAATTCTAAAAAAATATTTTAAAAATTCTGTGCAATGTAGAATAAAAATGGGTACCAAATGAAAGACAAAATTCAGTAGGATTTAAAAAAATTAAATTTTGTTGGGTTCACCTAGGACGAACAGGTATTGAAATGCCGTTTTAATCAATTTTATTTTTTTAAGCTAATAAAGATAGAAGGACTATATTCGACGACGTTGTCGAGTTTATATTAGTCCTTAACATATCATTTTTTCAAAATAAATATTGCAAAATTTAAAGGATATTCAGGGATTAAATTTTTAAGGACATTTTCAATACCTTACGGACCAAAAACTTTAATTTGTTCTTTCTTCACAGAATTTTCTTTTTGATTTAATACCCATAGTGTTTTCCTAAGTACATGGCACTAAATTTTTTAAACCATTTTTTTAATTATTCATATTATTTAATTTTCAAAGTCCTTTTAAAAAATCCTGACGTCAGCGAGAAAAGCTAAGAACGCGATTTTACTGCATATATTAGGCCCAGTTTTTTTTTGTGTAAAATTTCCTGTCGCAGAATATCGAAATTTTTAAAGGTATTCAAAGTTTATCGAGTAATCGATTTATATCGAGAAGTATACATTTTTGAGTTATCGCAACTTATAGAGCGCTCGAATTTCACATTATCGAAATTAGTCGAGTTATCGAATTTTGTTGAGTTATCGGATTTTAGTGTTTTTTTTTTAATTCATCGAATTATCGATATGTATAAAATTATTGAAATTTATCGATAAAATGGAAAGAATCACGTTAATTCCAAATCCTGCAGAAGTCCTTCAAAGACACAGAAATTTTGAATCAGTTGAATTGGATTCACTTTGAGGTTTCAATAGTTCATTTGGAAAATTTGGAATTTGTCCGTATAAAAGATGTCATAACTTCAAAATTTTTTTTTTTTTGATTTTAATGAATGGTACCCAGTTTTAATCGGAATTAAACATTATTTCCGAAGTAATGACTAAAAGAGACTGTTTTCTTTTCAAATTTTGGCAAAAAGTGTTTTAGAAGTGGAAAAAATAATAAAAATTGGTCTAAATTTCAGATTTATTCCAAAAATTTTCCACCTATTTTCGTTTCTTTAAATCGTACAAATATTCTTCTTTCTAGAGCTATATAAAAACTTAAAATTGGTTAAAAAATAACCAAGCTAAAAATTGTTTGGTGCCAAAAGTCATGGTTTTTTAAGAATAACTTGAGAATTTGAGGGTGTTAAAAAATTCTCAAAACAGTTTCGTGAATTGCTCGGCCAGCTCTATGACCTGTGCTAGGTCACTTAAAAAGTTCGTGCAATTTTTTTATTTTGTAAAACCGTGTTATTCAAGTAGAACTATTAAAAAAAAAAAAATATCGCCGAATGTAGGTGTCACTAAAAAGTGTTCGGTGAAAAAATAATGAAATTTTTTAGAAATCGCTTTGCAAAATTTCTTTTGACTCAGGGGTATACAGCGAATTTTTTTTTGTGTTTGCTCGTAAGGTGGTACGATCTAATTTACATGCATGCATATACGTATGTGTGTGTGTGTTTAAGCAAACATATTTTTCTCGACTGCGTTAATGTGTAATTAAATGTATACAATTCCGCAAATTTTTTGCTATGTTTACGAAACATTAACACCCAAAATATTTGGACACATTTTATTTCAAATTTATGGATACAATTTTGTCAACAAAAGTTTTTTTAATGCACGCACTTAAAAATTTCATATGGAAAATCGCACATATAATTTCTGCACTGACATACTCCACAAAAGCCTTGCCCCCGACGCGAACTACCGGAATCTGCTAGTAACTTTTAAAAACATGTACCTCAAGTCGGCTCGGAGAGACTTCCTCCCGACCGATTCTGGGCCATTGGCGGTTAGGGAAGCTTAAGCTGACAGCCGGTTCAAGCAGGGAACTAAGTGACTGTTGAATTGACAAGGCCGAGCACCTTCGACTTGGTTTCTTTTGAAGACTGTGTACAACCTTCTGGTGGCTCTTAAAAACATGAACTTCAGGTCGACTCGGTGAGCGCTAAGTGGAGACCTTGAGGGCCAAAATTGTAGTTTTCCCCCCGGCCTATGCGGGACCATTGGCGGTTACGGAAACTTAAGCTGGCAAAACAGTAGAATGATAGACAAAAATTTTGGGCGGGCACTGTTCAGCTGGCATCTATACGAAGAGACTTAACAGAACATATCGTAATATAAGAAAATTAAGGCGAGATATCTCATCCAATTAAAAAGTAGCTTCCGTATTCTAGCCGCATTCATATGCTTGGCAATTGTCATCGACTATTTTCTGCTTCGAAATTGTCGAGTAACGAACTCCAGCGATGAAAATGAGCAGCTGAAAAGAAATCAAACTTTAATCCGGCTAGTTTTAAACTCCTACTGCATCTGGATAGTGCCGAAGGTTACTGGAAAGTGTCTAGCGTGTGAAAAGGATCCGCTCAACAACTTGCACCTCTTCGCAAGCGCCATAGACTCCACTTATCTGAGGTTAGCGGCACTCTGGAGCAAACAAAGAGAAACCACGTGTCTCTTAGGCATTTGGCCGACGAAAAGAGGTGGAGACGATTAGCCGACTAGCTTGTGAGGTAAGTGTTGCTAAAATAAGATAAACCACAACATTTGCCTATCATTTTCTTATATGTAAAGCGTCTATGCGATTCCCAACCGCTTTTCAAACTGGCCTCAATTAGTTACACAATATGAGTCACAGTTACGCCCAACTGGGTCTGTCCAACTGGTACTCTTATTACTTTTATGTTTGATTTGACTGAATTCATATTGCAACTCTTGTTATTTTATGGCACTCTTGCTTTTCATATTGAAATTTTTGAAGACGAAGATTTTACATAGCGGTGGGATTGAAAGTATTATAAATCACTCTGTCTCCGAAAGTAACTGGTTTCTATGTATAGATTAGAGCGGGCGATTCGTATGGGAGATTTTTTCGACGATGCGCGTATAGCACAGAAGGATTCTACGTGTGACATGGGTCTAAAATCAATTTG